CCCCAAAACCCCAAAACCCCATGAGAAGAAATATAATGGCTTTAGATGTATTAATAAATTAATTTACATATTCTTTTAGATTCCTTGATAAATTAAATTATAAATTTAGATACTATCATTCTTCAAGTATTATATTCTATTCATAATCATAACTAAAACCCTCCTTTTAATCATACTTATTCTCACTCACATCACTAGAAGATTATTTTTAACCTAATATTAAATGAGTAGTTTGTTATAAATTACCCCTTACGGAGTCATAATTACTCTCTTCTATCATTGGAATAGATTTTTTATATTTATCACAGACTATAACTTTCTAAGCCAGACTCTTGATGAGTCTTTTATCAATATTATCCCGAACACTGAAATTTTGGACAATACTTTGAATCCACTACCTATTTTCAGTTAACTTTTCAATAATTATTCCGCTATTTTACTTTATTTTTGGTTTTAGAATTAATATATCTTTGAATTGCCTTAAAATATATCTTTAACTTGAATTCAATAGCACTTTCTCAAATTACTTTATTTTCCTTTCAAATTTAATTAGTCTCTCTATATCAAAAGCATTATCAATTTTATTAGAGCCCTTGCTATAAAATTTATTTTTTAACCTCATGTATTTGAAATGCTTTCGCGATACAAAACATCTGATAATGTAAAGCAACCAATATCCAAGTTTATCTACTACACTAAACTTTAATACTTTCAAACCTATCTCTCCATTTTGCATTGTTTGTCTTAAGATATCAAGATGCGTACTTTGCTATTTTATTTGCTTTAAATTAAGTTTTTAATGAGTATTCTCAAAATTAGTTTTATCTCCAAAATCTGATGCCTATTGCTCTTTATCATTATTATTTTTATCATAGTTCTAAATTTAATTACTTCTAACTTTTTTATTGAGACTTTTATCCAGCTTTTATAGTAGCTGCCTATGATTGTAATTATAGATTTTTGCAATGATATTAGATTTGAATAAAATCTCCTATATAAAACTAGAGACTATCACACATAGAAAAGTGATAAGAGACATTAGACCACCTACTTGCGAAAATGCATCCATAATAGTGTCAGTGGATCTTTGAATTGTTTAAACATTTTCATCCATGAAATACTACACCCCTGTCAAAGTATTATAAGATTCATAATGAGAGCTTATTGTTGACATTTATTGCCTTATCTTGTAAAATTCTTATGATTGTTCTTCAAATTAATTACTAAACCATGAATCTTTTAGTTAAAGCTGATTTCTGCTTATTTTGAAGTAGGTCATTTGAGATGCATTTTTCTATAGTTCAAATGGATATACTTAGACTGTGTTTTTCAATGGATTATTATCAAACTCAGCACTATCAAAATATTATTCTTTGTGAATAATTGCAATTACCGTTTTAGTAATCATTTGATCGCTTTCACTTTTAGATTTGCACTTTATACCAGGCTAGAGTTTATCCAAAACATTCTATTCACAATAATGAATCTCTACTACAACCATTTTCCTCGTCTTGCTAGCTATATTACCCTAGAGTTAAATTGTGAAATTTTTTGGACACCACATTGTTTCTAGGTCTTATGTTTGATTATTACCACCTAATCTCTCAGATTTACATTTCTCTAGTTCAAACGGAATTTATTACCAGGTAAAATGCTATCTTCCCTCCTATCCTTTAGTAATTATCTCCTCGGATATAATTTACTAAATATGAACAGAGAAATAGGTATCCATTTCTTACTATGCATTAGGATCAGTCCCCAAGTACATTAATCCTATACCAAGATCGAATTATTCCTATGTAACTATATAATCGGACTTATCAAATACTAAATTTCTAAAATATTCTGAAGTTTTAATTTAGACAGATCCATGAGCAAGAATGCATTTAAAAAGCAATATAAAATAAGTAGTCAATCCAGCAAATTGCAGTAAAGTAATTATTGCTCCAAAAGTTGTTTTAAATGATGCTCGATCTTTGTACTTAAATTCGAATCTATAGCCATATTGATCAATACCCTTAAATAATTCAAAGAATTTGCTAAACAAATCTCCTCTTTATTCTAAATTTTTTGACATCTATAAAATTATCTTTAAATTATTCTATTTTAAGATTTTTCAAGAATATCACCTTACGGGGTTTTGGGGTTTTGGGG